ATTGCTAGTAGGTTGGAGGCCATTGCGAGTAGGTTGGAGGCCATTGCGAGTAGGTTGGAGGCCATTGCGAGTAGGTTGGAGGCCATTGCGAGTAGGTTGGAGGCCATTGCAAGTAGGTTGGAGGCCATTGCTAGTAGGTTGGAGGCCATTGCGAGTAGGTTGGAGGCCATTGCTAGTAGGTTGGAGGCCATTGCTAGTAGGTTGGAGGCCATTGCTAGTAGGTTGGAGGCCTTTAGGTTACAAACTCCTTTCAAGGCCTGCGCAATCTCTCGGTCGACAGGCTTGAGATTGATCCCCCTCATCTCAGACAGGGACAGCGCCAAAGTGGCCATGCTGGCAGCAGTCTGCAGGGGCCACTGGGCGCCTTTGTCATTCACTTCTCTGCTTGCAGTGTCTCATCTATATAAGTATATATACAAATCTGAATCAAGTTGCAACATCTATTCAATCTCAATGCTGATATAGCATCCAAGCTGGACTCAAGCCTCCAGCCTTCCCGATCCTACCACTCCCATGCAGCCAGACCAGACCTCAAATTCCTCAAAACCACCTGCTGTCAACGAGTCCATCTCAGCTCCCCACGTCCATCGAGCCGTCTCAGCACGCGGCCCTTGGCCTTGTCCTGGGCGGTCGACGTGGCGCGCACCGCGCGACGCGCGACGGTGGTATTGTGCGCAGCGCGCGGAGAGCCCACGCAGACACGGAGCGGCCCGGCGTCCTCCTTCGGCCGCAGCTCGTCGCTCAAGAAGACCTCGGAGACCAGCCGCGTTGTGGGCTCTGCATGCGTTCTAAGCCCTTGAGCACGGAGCAAGCTTGGATTAAAACCTCCTCACACTCCATCCAGTGCCCCATGCCCGATGCCCCAAATGAATGCGCCTTCAGCCCAGGTCTTTTTCTCGCCACCTTTCCCAGTGAGGACGCGTTCCGAAGAACCCGAACCCCCTTCCCCCCCGGACCCGCCCTCACTTCCTCTGCGTCCCGGACGCAGCTGTGGCCATCCTGGGCCAACACAGCGGGTGGGCGACCCACCAGCAGCTCGATCAGCACCTGCAGGGGTGGTCGATCACTCGCGCTGGGCCGAAACCGTCGGACGGAAAGAGGACGGAATCGACCTGATGTAGATAGGTTGATGTCATCAAACCCCGGTCAGGTTTTACAAACCTAATGGGGAAGGTGTGAATCAACAGTCTTATGATGTCTTATGCCATGCAGAATGCAGACTAGATGTGTGTTCCCCCAATTGATTTGTAAAACCTCTGGATATGGCGGGTTTTAGAGTCTACATTAGGCAGTGGTAGTGGTGAGAATCGGGAATCCTGAATGTCTTCTGATAGAAGATGTGATTGAAAACCTTACCCATCTATAGGAGACTCATGTTTGTGAAGATCAATAAAAACATACGGCAGCAAGGTGCTTTTAGGATATTCACCATGAGACGTATGTTCTCTGTGCACTGCTTGGAAAAATTGGAATCTGAGCAAAAACGATCCGAATCGATCACGCAGAAGGACCAAATTAACTGCCTGGCCAAAGGAATAGCATTCGCTGGATTCGGAAATCACGCCTGTCCTGACACATCAAAGCAACGCTTGTCCGGGAACTGTGAAGTTGAGTGCGAAATCATTGACTGTTTTTGAGAGCGGGTGTGCTTGGCAGAGCCCAGTCTGGATGCGCAAAGTCAATTACAGTCATTGGCAGCTCTTCGTCTGCCCATCATCAATGTGTAACACCAATGACAAGTAGGTTAATATTTCTCTGCGCGCAATCAATGTAGCATCATGAACGAATATAAATATAATACTATATATATAAAGGCTCAGGCTCTCCCGTCCAAACCCTTTTACTTCGCAAGACCAA